CATCTACTTTACATGAGAAATCAACAGTTGTCTTCCTATTACTAAATATCAAATAATTTGTTTTATCCAAATTCAAGGACAATTTGCTTTGTTGAAACCAATTTTGTATTTTCTCAAATTCTTTCTGTGCCATCTCAAACATTTTTTCTATATCTTTACCCAAACAAAAAAATGTTGTATCGTCAGCAAATAAAACGCATTTGAAAAGTCCTGACACATTTACTAAGTCATTCACATATAAAATAAACAACTTAGGTCCCAGTACAGAGCCTTGAGGTCACACTTAGCCTCTATCCTGCAAGTAGGACATGCAGGTAGAGGCTGCCGAGGACTAGGATTGGACACTCCTGGTTTAGGGTCCGTCTTGTTTGTGGKGATTCACGAATCACATCCGGTAACCTCAAGAGCTAGGACAAATAAAACTCCTTCTGTGCTTAATAGCATGTATTTGATCCAGTTAAAATATCAAAGCACAACMCTGACTCTTTGTTTTAACCTTTGTATAACAGAAAATAATTTTCAATGAACAAATAAGAATTTAGACTTTTACTTTAAAGGGCTTTTTACTCAGTAATGACAGTGTTGCTTCCATCGGTTGTGGTAAAGWAAAAGTTGAGTCAAAAGGCAAAACTTTTATTTACTTGTATGTCTGTGCATGTGTCAACTCTCACCTGTGGTCATGACGTTTGGAYCATGATTGAAATAACGAGATCCTGGATACAAGCAGCTGAAATGAGCTGTCTTCATGGTGACCGTGCTCAGCCTTTGAGACAGGGTGAGGAGCTCCGTCAACCTGGAGGAGCTCTGAGTAGAGCCGCTGCTCCTCCACATCAAACCGAGTCAGTTGAGGTGGTTCATCTAATTAGGATACCTCTTGGACGCCTCCCTTTAGAGGTGTTCCAGGCACGTCCTACTAGTAGGAGGCTCCGGGGAAGACCCAGGACTCACTGCAGGGATTGTGTTTCMTCTCTGGCCTGGGAACACCTCAGGGTCCCTCAGGACAAGCTGGAAAGTGAAGAGAGGAATGTATGGGTTTCTCTCCTGGACCTGCTGCCACTGCAGCCCGACTATGAATAAGTAGTAGAAGATAAAATATCAGRCAGAATGTGGATCATGTCATGGTCTTCAGGTGTGTATTAGGAGCAAACTATACTCCCTGTTAAGCCTGATAAAGAGCAAATCATTGTGTTGGCAGTATATTTGAGGTAGTCTACTTAAAATGTGAGGTCACAGTGGCTTGGTCAATGAGAAGTTTTGAAGCAGGACAGGTCTCACTGGAGGTTACCAAAGTTAGACATGGTACTCATAACTGTAGCATTACATTGTTCAGACAATTTGAATGAGATATTTCAAATAAAGAACCAGAGGAAATGGTGTGCATTTATGTGAAGTAGCATCATATGTGTCTTAAAGCTGTGATCTAGAGGAATGATGTCTCTTTTTTTAGACAGTCCTTGCCTATTATAGTACCAATACTRAAAGTATTACAACAACGTGACTTCATGGTGCTAAATGGCTCTTTCAAATAGCAGCAAGTCAAAACTGGTTCAGTTCAGACTTGTTTATTGCTCAGCACTGGAAACATCACATAAGATGGAAAACATCTGAGTGTGAATGAAAGGTGAGCAGCCTTCCCCGTTTCTTTTCTGCTCCTGATTTTCTCTCTCCCACCGTTGCTCCGAGGCGCCCCACCCCACCCCCCGTGTCGCCTTACCCCCGAGTTTTAGCCCCCTAATCGCCCACAGTTAGTGGGAGAGAACTGGAGACTTCCAGCTGGCTGCCTTGTTACTGCACACTCCTGGGACACACACATTCCTGCACACACACATGGGCTCATATACGCTTACCAAGGAATTTTCTGTTATCTCTTGGCATCTCTCTATCCAACTCCCCCACCACCCTCTGGACAACTTGATCCCGCCAAGGCCTTGCCGTGTAAACTGAACAGCAGAAGGAGGCATTACCTCGTGGGAGGGTTGTCCTCCACTCCAACACCGAGCTGAAACCAACATTAAGATTTGTATTTCACCGGACTCTCAAACCTACATCTGTATGTGGAGGCACGTGTTTGTCAAAAACTTATTACAAGTTTCCAAAAGTTACTACAGCTCTGGTTGTCCTGATGCTTCTCAGTAATCCAGGTAGAAAAATCAAAAAKMAAAAATAAGTAGGTCCTCTGGATGGGTTCTTCTTTAGTGAAATGTTTCGTCTCTCGTCCAAGAGACTTCTTCAGTCTGATGAGTTTCAGGTGAACTCAACCTTATAAGCACTGCCTCCACATGGTGGACAAACAAATTAGTCATATGCAAAAGAGGGCCATCACCTAACAATAGGTTGTTAGTGCCTTGATTGGCTCTATTGTTCATGGAGGGTCATGTGCTCCATCACCTGACTATCGTTGAGGCCCTGATTCACAGCTCTGGTTGTTTTGTCTCACAAGTGTTTTTCTCTTCCAGGAGGGATCCGTATGATTATCCTACCCACTCCAGGCCTGTTCCCAGAGAACAAGGCCCCTACCCGAGCCACTACCCGGACCCTCTGGTTTCCAGTAACTCTGGCCGTTTGCCTCTCCCTCAGTCGACCAGCCAGCCCCAGCAGGCAGCTAACAATCCACGCTACCACCCTTCCTCTCAGCCGCACCGTGCGGCAATGAGGCAGGACGTCCCCCCGTCTCCCACCGCCGGACGCCGAGGCCGGCAGTACTACGACGGCCCCGAAGGGAGAAACTACCGACAGGCCAGCCCCGGCCGCTACTTCAGTCCCGAGAGGAACCCCAACGCCAGAGAACGCTACCCCAGCCCCGATCGCTACCAGTACGGAGGCGAAAGACAACCGGAGCCAAGACGCAAGAACGTCATGATAGACGCCGTGTAAAGTTAAAACTCAGAGCGGTGTAACTCAGCCYAACAGAAGCCAAACGTGACGAGAGTAAATGTTTAAACAAATGTTTGTTTTTAAGGGAAATAGATTAAACTGTATATAAATGCATTTATTGGAGTTGGTTGAATATATTCCAGTATTGCCAAAGTTTGTAACAAGACAGAGTTTATATTGTAGAAATGAAATAAGACCAAATTGGAGGTAGACTGTTTGTGTAGATGTTTAGATGAAACTTGGTGCCAAATGTGTAAAATGAAGTAAAAAGTAGTGGATTTGTGGTTTTGTACACACGGATCAGAATGAAGGAAACAGAGGGATCACCTTGACCAGTGAAACTATTGCACAAGGGAAACAGGAAGTCGTCCAACAGGAACAGGAAGTAACTCCCCTTGTTTCGTGTAGTCTTTGATGTTTTTGTCGCTTGAACTTCCTTTACATCCTGCTTCACGCTGGTACTTTGGTCTTTTCTGCCTTTGAATGTGCGGACTTGGCAATTATTTTCTGTGTTTAAGATGAGTTTATGATGAGTTTTGTGGTTTTAAAAAAATATATGAAAATATAATAAAAATCTTTGATCTGCACTATTGTTACTACTRTCTTAGATAAGTTATGTCACTTCTTACTCTGTGGAATGAATAAATGGCACATTTTATCCTTGAACATATAAATGTTATGATGTACTGGTAATGTCTGATTTTTTTTCTACAAATTCTTTGAAATAAATATTTTGAGATTATCACTCTGTTCATTTCATTTCACTGGTTTCTATTTCTGAGTTGCTCAGTGCGAATTCAGAATATTTCGTCAAGCTGCGACAGCGCCATGAGTCATCGCTTTAAAAATTCATTACGGTATTAGGCCTAATTTCTGTGAGCACAGTCTCTAGATAAATTTGCCCCCACCAGATGACTGATAAGAGTAGCCGGCGTTCTGATAATGACTGAATCATCTCCAACAATTAGGGGAAGGAAAATCTCCACTAGAAAATGATTAACGCCCAATTTGCTCCGAGAAGTAAAGATGGCAATGATTGGTGAAAGTAGACTTGATATAATTGTGTGTGTGTGTGTGTGTGTGGAGGGCTTTTTCTATCAGTTAATGTTTAATTAGCACCATCATCAGCAGGGAGCAGACATATGCTGAGCCTTAAAGTCTCCTCTTTGTTTGACCCTCTCCAGTCAGAGCAGGAAGAAAAGAAAAAACTGACAAACCGTGCGTCTCATTCTTGGATAAACAAACTCTTTATTCTCCTCAATTCATATTTTACTTTTGGACCCAGTGATACAATGCCTTTCAAAAAGCCAAAATAGATAAAAGCTGGGTAAACATGAAGAGGAAGAAGCAGCTGTCTGCTYGTCATCCTGTGATGACAGAAAAAAGGGAAATTACGTGCAGATATCTTGAACTAACTGAGTTCATGAAAATATCCAAACACAGGATGAGATGGGATGAAACAAATTTTAAGTACTTTTACAGAAAACTTTGTTTTATTTTACAGCAGSTAAGTTCCATAATAACATAATCTGGTTTTATCTTAATAGAGAAGAGTTATGTGCAGCAGCTGCACGCTGGAGAAAACAATCTGTTAAATGTAAATTAGCTTTAATTATCTTCATATTACCCAGCGGAGCAGCATATCACAATATTAGCAAGCAATACTACATTACTATACGTTTTTATAAATGTAACAGTCATGAATAATTTAAAATGAGACAACTGAATTATTTCTTTGCCTTTTATTAAAACTTTGTGGGTTCATTTGTTCCAGCATGGCAGACTTTACAATGTGGATTTTTTTTTTCCAGAGCAGCAACAAATATGCTTCTTTTGTATCATCTTTTTTTTTTTTTTTTGGGGGGGGGGTGGTGTTGCTAGAATACAAATTGTGATTATGTTAAATGTTCTGTTACTTGAATAAGTTTTACACAGTAGCCCTGTGTGTGTGTGTGAATGTAGCACAAAATGTAAGGAACTTATTTCTTTGTTATAATGCTTCTTGCAATAAATCTTATACCAGGTACCTGAAGCTCAGAAAGTGTCAATAGCAACAGCAAAATAAGCAATTTGGAAAATTCAGGTGCACAACCCACATACTCAGCTCTACTGCTCATCACACAAATTACCTGACAAATGTGGCACCATTTAAAAGGGAAATTAACAGACTTTCCATTGTTGTCAAATGTATTGCCAAGAAGCATTGTTACAACAACATTGTTGCTTTTGTGTTAAGATTATATGTGCATTGTAGCCAGATTAGAAAGAGTTAATCATGGTAGCTCCTTCAGCCAATCACAGCATTTGCTCACAGCACGTGATCAGAAAGGCCTGGATGGAAGAACCAGAACCCATCAGGGAAGCAGCAAAACTGTGAGTAAAAATCCACGTTTCAGCCCCTTGAATCTGAGAGTTCAATTTATAAACTGGTGTGTCACTGTTAAAACATATGATGCATAAAACCTAATGAAGTTACTGTTAGTTTGAATAAGGAATATGAAGCTAATGATACTAACAACATTACCATCCATGAACATTTGCAGTTATATCCTGTTTAAATGTTTAATATTCTATGTTATGTAAATAATTTTGATAAAAAAATAACCTTGATTATTCTTTTTCCATTACATTTTTTCTTTATAT